CACAGAACAAGTAAGGAACTTCAGAATTACAGCAGTAACTTATGTCCTCTGTAATATCCTCTGTAGTGCAGAAGATTCCTATAAAAGACCCTTTTCTCCTAGAATGACAATATCAATCAGTGGTAATATTTACTATATATTTGAAAGAGTTAGAACTCTCTTCTCCCATCATGTCTAGAATGGATGTTCCTTGTACAGATATACTTAGAGGTGAGAGATTGTTCTACAAAATGCAGTGAAGTCATGTGAATGTATAAATAAATAAATGAAATATTTACTTAAAACAGACTTTCAAACTTCTGTCTGGTCTCTGTATGGTCTCACCATACTTGTGAGGATCAATAGATGTGTGTATATGTCCTATTGATAAGTATTCACCAAAGCATGAAAGAGCAAGTTCTGATCTTCAGACAAAAGTAGAGCAAGTGGCAAGTTCAGGGTTTGAATGATAAATCAAAGTTAGAGAGGTCTTTGATAAAATTATCTTTGTCTTTCCCACACTCACAGTTTTGCCTTCTAAAAATAGCAGATAAGGAGACTGTCATAGAAATAAAAACAGCTGCACATTCTATCATTTGAAAACTAATTTGGGTCATACATGAGAGAACCGAGTTGAGAGAAAAAAGCTGCTTTTCTATCCAAACCTATAAATAATAATTTCATACCTTAAGGAGAATTATAGCTGAGGTCAACAACCCTAGAGAATAAGGATGTCTCAACCAAGTCCAGTTCCTGATTCCACTTAAGGAATCCTTCAAACTGAAAAGAGAATTCTCCCATCCTACTGCAACAAACAAGATAGTGAAGGATAACCTTGAAGAATATCCATCTAAGCCCAACTCATGAGTACTATATAATAGCCAAAGCGTCAGTCTTAAGCAAATTCAAAGGCATATGATGTCTCAACCAAGTCCAGTTCCTGATTCCACTTAAGGAATCCTTCAAACTGAAAAGAGAATTCTCCCATCCTACTGCAACAAACAAGATAGTGAAGGATAACCTTGAAGAATATCCACCTAAGCCCAACTCATGAGTACTATATAATAGCCAAAGCGTCAGTCTTAAGCAAATTCAAAGGCATATCCAAGTGTAGATGAAGTCTAGTAAGTGCACCATCAAATGTATGTGTTATTGTGTGTTTTCTTGAAAGCAATGAAGGATGAATAGAATCAGATAGCACAAATAGTTGACTACAAACGTACTCTCTACACAGGCCTAACTTAGGCAGGTAATTTGTACATGAAATGCAGATTTTGTGGCCAGACCTCTTTGTCTGACTCAAGTAAGAAACCTTGGGAGAGGGTCTTCTATTTTACCCCGTCCCTCATTTGTGGACAGTAATAAAAAGAGCAAAATTTTATTCCCTCACTCTATGGCTTAGCCATACATTTGCCTTCTACTCTGTTAATATGGGATGAAAAAAAGAATTTCAACTCAAAACTCTAGTGCTCAGAATCTTAAGTAATCTGAAGCATTACTTCTTTCAAGACGTCATTTTCAATAGCACAGGTTTAATAAAAGCTACATGTACCCTCAGGGACTGATTGACTGTAAAACGATTTGACTTGAATCATTCATGCTGTCTGAGTGATTAAATTCTCCAGATGGATCTGCGAAATACAAGAAGTCATATAATTGGTTCCCCTGTAGGAAATGAATTCTTTCTTTCAGGGGGTAGGTGGGTGTACATATAGGTTTTCTCATTCACACATACACACAAATTTCTGACTAGTTATTTTTGGGTTTGGGGATTATTGCCAAAGCAATACCAGCAATACTAGGTTTTTAAAAACTGTCTTTTGACCAATAATATGCCCTATTGCTGCATTTCATATTGTATTTCTACACTTCATAAAAACTTGTATTTTATGAAAAAAGTGTTTCAATAAATTTAGTTTATTGATTTATTAGGTTTCTACTCTTTCCACTACATATACAATCTGTTGGAGGTAGAAGGTGTGTGTGCGTGTGAGTGTTCCTGAGAGTGGAATCTGACCTGAGCAATGATTAGTGAAGCAGGTTTTACAGCTATATCAGAAATGAGATTTATTTACAAGAAATACATTAGAGGGATAGGCAAAGCCTAGTCTACCCTACCCTATGTCTCATCAGGAGGAAAGCCTAAGAATGTGTGCTCCGTCGCTGGGAAGAAAAGCAGAAGGAAGTGACCTGGGATTAGCAACCACTTAGACAAAGAGTAGATAGAGTGATAGGGAAAGAAGGGGCACAGAGTAGATCCCTCACTGTCTTCCTACAGCCCCTGACCCCTTTTGGCCACCATGAGGTGCTTAAGAATCAATGTCACTGAAACTGCATCTCTGACATATTCAACAAACTACAGAAAACCAGACTGTATCATATTAAAAAAAGAAATCAGTTATGATTGTTTAAAATGTTATCTCCCAACTTTACAAGAGTTCTTTGTCCAGAATAAGCACAGAGACAATTAACAGAAGCAGATGAACAAATTGTTTTGAAATGTTTTCAACAAATTTAAAAAATGGAAAAAACAAAGAAAAACAATGCTTCTTATTGGGAACCATGGATTGAATTCATATGACCACAAGAAGGAAAACAGCCACTAGCAACATTCCACAAATGCTTGTATATTTTAGCAGTACTCATTTAGTAAATTAAATTAACCCACGTACCAACCGAAGACAAAGATTTACAATAAGTTAAATTTTCTTGTGCAATTTGGTAGTGCAAGGATAGTACCAACGAACTCTCATATATGGAAAAGATCTTCCTGTGCAAGATCTTTTCCATGCAGATAGCAAGAATGCATTCCACTCTGGTTTTGCAAGCATTTATTCAAAAGGAAGACAACCCTAAACTTAAAATGATTTTCCCAAAAAGGAAGAGTAGGCAGAAAAGAATTATAAACACAGACAAAAGTCCTGAACAATTCCCAGTTTCCAAACCTTGTCAGCATACATTTGCCAACTACAGCTGAAAATAATCCAGGAGTTTCAAGTGGGTGAGAGAAAGACTTCTATGCTTGTATGCACGTATATGTGGGTATGTGTATATACTTATCAGAAGCTACATTTCAAAAACTGGCAGGGTCAGGCCAAAAAAAAAGGATATTTAAATTATTAACTGGTAATTAAAATGAACTCTCTGAGAGAGGGAAGAAGATCACCCTCTTCCACGGCCTCTAGTAGCTGGTATTTAAGCTGGTGTGATGCTTTTGATTCTGGAGGTAGTGAACAGCCATCAAGCCTCATGGCCACTGGCAACTCCATCCTCCACAAATGCCTGTAGCTCCCTTTTAAATGATCTACCATCAGTTTATCACATCTACATTTTATAAAAAAGTGTACTATTTTTACTGACCAGATGGCAATAATCAAAGCCAACCGAATAGATGACTTTTCTGTATGGCCAATCAAATCTAACAGAAATGTTTCCTCTAAACGAATGCAGTCTGCAATAGCTGGAACATAGATACGTGTCTAACTTCTTGCAAAAGACATGAAAGTAGTAGACTGAATAACCCACTTATTAATATTTCTCATTGTCCGGTGTGGCTGACCAAGCAATGTTCTTTCCTTTCCCTTTCCCCTAGCTATTCACAGTCAAGCTGCAATGTCAGGATGAGGGCAAGAAATGGGATTCTTAGAATTTTCTGTTGGCTCCCAAGGATTCTTTATTTACACATATTAATTCATGCATGCAAATATATGCAAATTGTAAATTGCCTGTTGTCTTCCATTGAGCAACAAAAACCTCAAATGAATGGTGTACAAGTTAATTAGGTTGTCAATGCCAATGCATAACTTGTCAGTGAAAATGCACAGATTAATGTGCTCCATCAGTAGAGTTTGACAACTTTTTTGTCAGGACAATCATGCTTTTTTTTCACTGAGTAGAAAGCAGAAATTTAGCAATGACAGAGTTTTCTGGCCTGAGTAAGTTTCACCTCTTACATTTCTCCACACTTCACAAGGTACAAGATGGGGGGTTACAAATCCTTCTATGCTATACAGTTAGGTCAAAATTGATAGGCTTTCCATTTTTCCCTCAATATCAATTTTCAGCCCTTGTTGGAGTAGCATCGGCAGGAATTATTGTAAGTTTAAGGGTTTATGTCTGCTTAGAATCTTAAAAATATACTAACAGGGATCACTCATAGTGCTAATTTGAAAACAGGTTTCTGAGTTGCTTTAGCAGAACCAAAGATTTTTTTGTGTAAAAAAGGTGGTCCAGGATACTCAGTGCATCAGACTGCTTAAATTATTTGAAAATTGATCTGTTGCTTTAGATTTTTTATCTATAGATTTTTTTTTCCCATTTGCTTCTAAACCAAAGAAACATTACTAAGTTCTTTCTCAGTTCAACACATTATTAATAGCTCTCATTCAAGAAAGATCTAGATATTTAAAAAACAAAATTCGCCAGCAGCTGACCCATAGCCCATAAAATACTACATGAATCTTTTGTCACAGGTGGAAAACCCTGTCGTCAGCCAAAGCCACACCTTTTTGCGGGTAGCTCATTGCACCAGGTCGATTCAGAATCATTGTCTGTAAACGCTGCAGATTTCTCCAAAGTTTAGATGACAGGCACAAGCCTCCTCTTTCTAATCTCAGATCCTACCTCAATAATAAGGAATTCACCCCGTATAGGCAGGCCACCTACATTAACTTGTAGTCAGATCAAAAGATTTAAAAAATATATACCTGGAAGAACAGGGGAGAATTCTGGGGAGGGAAATCACACTATAGGATAATAATTTAAAAAAAAAAGATGATCTCATTCCAGGTACAGTCCTAGGTTTAGCGGTATGAAAATAAATTTCCGATGATGAGGATGATGGAAGTTTTTTTCCTCTTGCTAACTGCAGTGCTGAAGGGAGGCGGCTTAAAGGTCCTTTCCCTGCACACTGTTTTGACAAATATCGAATAGAAGTTTCCCCTAGAACAAAAAGATGTAAAAACCATTGTAGGAACTGCAAGCCGTAGTCTGAACGCGATGTGCAGCTACCGTATGCCCACCGTGTTTTATCATTTCTCCACACTTCATAGATAGTTTGCCTCCCTCTATTCACTCAGCGTGGTGTCTTCTCTCAGCATAGTTTGCAGTCTGACTCCTTCCCCCATGTCATAGATAAACAGGAATAAAACGGGTTCCTGAAAAAGAGGAAATGTAAAGAATCTCTGTCTGCCTTTATCAGCTCCTTATTATTTCTGTCTTATGGCAGTTGTATGAAAATTTCCATTTCACGTAGCAAGGGAAATGGCAGAAGCAATTACAGTTTATTTTTCACCTAAGATTTTGTAACAAAGTGAAGTTTAAATCTCTGGAAACAATGCAATATTTTTAGCTTCACCCAATTTTAATTCTGTCCCTTTCCCACATGCAGAAGTATAATTATAAGTTGATGTATTGAGACATTCTTTTCTAAATTCTTCTGCTATTTCTTGGCAGTAGATACTGAAACAATGTATCCTTTATTTCATGGAAATATACCCAGGAATGCAACCTTCAAAGCTTTGTGTGCAAGTGGCCCTTAAGTTTTGTCCCGTTCTTTTTAAACTACTACCAACTAGATATTTTCATTTGCACATACCTGCTTTTGGGTTATCAGAAAATCCAGTACAGTTGCAATTTCAAGACACCTGAAGGAATTCTATGATCACTTGCTCTGTAACAAAAAACAAAAAAACCCTGCCTCTCTCTCTAGCACTTCAGAAAAAGCTGACATTAGCACTGCTTGAAGGATCCCATCATGTTAAAAACAAAAATGAAAGTGCTCTTCTCATTTAAACTATATCAGGAGAATTTTGATATGGGAAGAAGGTAAATAAATTACCTTGCACTTACATTCTCTTTCCATAACTTAGAGATCCCAGGGATTCTGCCACACAGAATACAGACATACATATCATTTAGCTCTAATATTTAAAGCTTATCCTAGACAGAAAGTGTTTTTATGTGTCGTAATGGAAGATAGGTTTAAAAATCTATTATGGCAAAAAGCGTGTTTGCTGAGTTGCACTGTTATTAGAGAGTCAGTGTATGATGTGATCATAGCGCTAAACTAGGATTAGGAAGTGAAGGTTCAAGCCCACATTTAATGGAACCCCATTGAATGACTTTGGGCTTATCACCCTCTGTCAGATCATCCAAGCTTGCAAGACTGCTGTTATGGGGGTAGAAGTAGACAGGGCAATACTATGCATGTTGCCTTGAACTCCTGGAGGTATATAAATCAAGCAAAAGACAAGCGTTTGCTAAGTGTGTCCAGGAAGGTGTTTGGTAGAATTTGGATCATAAGGGTACAAGAAGTGAGGATATGAAAAACTTGGGAAATTCATTGTGGGCGGGGAATGTACAAACCAAATGTTTGCTCTTCAGCAGGCCATTAATAAATGCATGAATGTGAGAAAGTTGATTTATGGAATCATGCGATCAAGTGAATAAACCAGGGTTATTAAATGTATACACGAATATGGAGTTGAAGGTTGATTGCTGAATACAATAGCAATATGTAATGGAAATAAAACACATAGCACATATAAATATATTCACCTTTAATTAGTTGTGTCATTTAAGAGCATCAACTCCAAAAGAAACATTATTTTTTATTTTTATTTTTTTAAAATAGGCATTTAAATCTGTCACTAGTTACACTGAGGTCTAATCTTAATGGCAACCACCACATGGGGTGGGGCTTAATACCTTAGTTCTAAGAACTACCATGAACAGGCACAGGTTTTTAATTTTTTTTAAGGGATTGAATCAAGAGGCTGAAAGAAGAATCGATCTCCTTTGCTCTAAATGCCTAATAATCTGATCTTGAAAAGGCTTTTGTATGATTCAAGCTAAAAAAATCCTGGAGGGGCAGCTGCAAAATATGTATTAAATTATAATGTAACTTGCCTTTAAGACAACATATCTTATACTATGAGATAGGTATTGTTGCTGACTTGAAGATGAATTTCAGTTTGGATTTATGATTAAATCTTATATTGCAAGCCTGGAGTATTGGGGCAGATAGGACAAAGGAATCAGCCTAATTAGGGCATCAGGTTTCCAAATTCTACTGGTTTCTTGATAGGATATCTGCTTGAGTTTCAGGGTACAAAAATCCAGACAACCACTAGAACAGTTGCAAATTGTTATCTGTTTGCTGCCATCTGGTACATGACCTGTTTTTGCAACCCAGATATTGTATCCCTATTTTTTGTTTGTGGGAATTAGTGAATGTTCTCTAGAACTATTGTGAGAATCTCTTCCTCCAAGAAGGCCTTTTCCTATTCTGAGCATCAACCATTGTTGATGATTCTCACTATTATTCCTCACTGATGCTTTGCCATGCTATTCCAGACTTAGCTGGCAGTGCAGTTACTAATGGCACCTGTTAAAGTCCACATAAATCACCACAGCTGCCACTGGTACTGAAGGACAATTGCAGCTGTTTGCTTGTCTATTACCATAAGCCAAGACCTAATCAGTGCTGATGAATTCAGCACATGCTATTGTAAACAGCCTTGGCCTGTGACAACATGTTTAGAACTAGTGGTTCTTTATTTGAAATTTCCTCTAGGTTTGGGGTTTTGAATCTTGTGGTCTTATTTCCAAAATAATTTTTTAAAATAATTTAATAATAAAAGTTTTTAGGAAAGCTCCATCATTCCATATTCCATATACCAATATACAGAGTTCTGGAATGCAAGGTTTTTGGTAATATATTTTAAGTATATATATTCAAAAATAAACTCTGCTGAGTTTAATAAAACTTACTTTTGGATGAAGCTGAACAAAGGAATTTCCTTGCATTTTTTGTTCAAGCAGGTCTCATTCAATTAGACAAAAAATGTTTTAGAAATTCTTTCAAAGGAGTAGAGAATATCCAACAAAATTCTTGTGGGTAGAGTGTACTACTCCTGCATTTATTGGGTTTAGCAGGTGGCTAAGAGATACTAGATAGGAGAATGTCATGTATTTCACTATATAATCATCTCTTCAGTGGTCTTCATCTTTCCTGGCTACTCAGACTTCAAATAAATCCTAAGAATAAGTATCATGAGTGAAATCCTCCCATTGGGTAATTTTACTACTGATGCCACTATCACTGTAAAGGCAAAGTCCTGTCTATATGACATTGCTGGAGAATTTCTCCATTATTCAGAGAAACTCAAAGAAATTGTCCACTCAGTTTCTTTGCTCACAACTTTGACAGAAGAATCCCAGAAAAGCATTTGTGCCAAACTGTACTTTTTAAAAAAAATTGTCATAGGACTATGACTTAAGCATAACTGTCAATTCATTCCTATTCATCTCCATCCAACATTATCAATGCATATGAGTTCATTAGTAGGAGAATTTTGTTTAAAATGGTAATGAAATGTGCATATATCATGTTTCATTTTGTATTATATTAATTCACCAATGATCAGGAGCACCTGTATGTATCTATGAAGCACATCACAAAAAGTCATCTTGATTCAGCCACACCTACAAAGTTGGGAGGGATCCAGATTTTACCAATGCAGACATGTATTCCTTTTGATAAGGTCAGGAAGAAGGAAAAATGCAAATCAGCTGAAAGCTTTGGTACATTACACTTCAATTCTAGAATTAATTTTAGAAATTCTCTACAACAAAATTCAGGAAAGACAGAAACACAGAACAAAATAAGCCAACAAAATAATCAAGTAATAAATCTGTGGAATTTTACTCATTCTGATAGGAGATCAGCAAAGGCTGACAAAAGGAAATACTCTTGTCATAAGCTTAGAATTGTGCAAATATACAGAACTGGCTCCAATTGTTCTGGGCAATATAATTTCAGGAGGCTCCTATCTTCTGTCAGTGAGCATCCTTAGTTCTTGTGGCAGGCATCATTCTCAGCAATCAAACTGCACTGGATTGCTAAGCTCAGCGGCAGTAGAATTTCCCATAATAACCCAGAGTGATGCTACTTCAAGGGCATTGTGGGAAATGATATCTAACCCAGCCACCTGGTAGACAAGGCCACCAATTAAGATAGCAGCCCACAAAATACTAACTTTTAAAAAACCTGATCAAGTGATTGAACTCATGTTTTGCCTCAGGTTTTTCTAATTGGCCGCTGTAGGAGCAGAACATTGAATTAGTGGGACTTTGGTCTATTGTAGTGTTAGGAGGCATATATGTTTAAATATTTTCTTGCCTGCTTATAAAGTAAGTAGGTTAAGCCTGTCACATCTATTTTACTTCTTTTTTTCCCCAAGTGGAAAATCGTATGACAAATATTTCCAACAGTACAGTCTTGGAGGCTCCCCTACAAATATAGTACATGTGGCCTATGGATCATGGATTATGCATTCCTGGCCCAATCCATCAGGACTGTAATTACTTTTGTGCACTTAGAGCAATAGACTCCCTCATTTTTTAAAAAAAAATGAAAGAACCCGAACAGGTATCAGAAATGGGCGCTATTTGGGCTCTGCAACTATACAAGGATATCAGGTATTAGGCCCTGCAAATATATCTGTACCATTTCCAACCAAATGTTTTGAGGAATGTACAGCAGATCCTTACAGCAGGGCCCCCTATTAGAAGGAAAGCAATTTTAAGTTCTCCAGAGTCCTTTTATGGTTATGTAGGCACTGGGAGAACCATCGCTTTTACTGAAGCTATAGAATCCAGACATTTGAACTTCTGGGATATTTTTTCTTCCCACAAATGCCAAACATTCCTTATTCTTTTCACTTAATTCTAAGAACTAAACAAAAATACCCCCAAAGAACAAGCAGTTTGATTTTGGCTATAACAGAGATGGGCGGGGGGTGGGGGTAGGAAGTAAGTTAGTAAACTCTTAGATTATCAGT